TGGGGAAGGGGCGGAGTTGGGGCAGGGCGGGTCCCGTGGAGTGTCCTCCTTTTGGAGGCTCAAAATATGGTAACCCTAGTATCCAGGGCCGGCTCTAGGCACCAGCTTCTCAAGCAGGTGCTTGGGGCGGCCGCTCCGGAGAGGGGCGGCAGGTCCAGGTATTCGGCGGCAATTCGGCGGATGGTCCCTCACTCCGCCTGGGAGTGAAGGACCTCCCGCCGAATTGCCGCCGCAGATCGCGATCGCGGCTTTTTTTGTTTGTTTGTTTTGGCTGCTTGGGGCGGCCAAAACCCTGGAGCCGGCCCTGCCTGTATCATTTCATATGTACCTTTACAGATTGTATGAAATGAAGCAGGGCTTTAATACTCACTTCTACATACCATATATATCCTCACAGATCATATGCCACATACATTTGCACAGGCTCTCACAGCGGGAGGGATAGCTCAGTGGTTTGAGCATTGGCCTACTAAACCCAGGGTTGTGAGTTCAATCCTTAAGGAGGCTGTTATTGCCACATGCATATCCCTCTGTGCCCCACTTGGGGAACACATCCCACTTCTTTGGCAAAAAAATGGGACAAACTTTTTTGGCAACAGCAAATGGGACAAATGCACACTTTTACCAAAAAAGTCAGGACGGCCGGGACAGGGCTTAAAAAAGGGACAGTTCTGACCAAAACTGGACCTGTAGTCAATCTACTTATTGTTATTTAAAGTGGAGAAATTCTATGGACCATCATTTGTCTTTTCCTGGGTTTTAAAATGTTATGTGCTTTGAGATAGACTCCTCTGGTTAGGGAGGCAACCCCTCCCTGCCTAGTTGACCAGCACCTTGTTGTGAGGTTGAATGTTGCAGCACAAATTATGAGCACAATTTTCTATATACATAAATAAGCACAGTGTGTGTATACATATCTCACAATGACCACCAAGTTCAGAACACCACACACTATGACATGACTTGACATATTTGTACACACAACATTATATGCAACCAATTGATTCAGTTGCTTATTTTGGGTTCAGACCTCCTGTTCTTCCCTTGGGGTGACTGGACCCTGACTGTCACAAGTGCATTAAGTAATTTTTAAAACCTTTATGATTCAACCAATATCTGCATTTGTACAGCACTTTGCATAATAAGATCCTGGCCCACGACTAGGACTCATAGGCGTTATTGCAATACAAATAAATAAAAATAATAATAAAAAATAGGTTGTCACCAGACAGCTGTGACATAGTGAGCATACCCCTGGCAAATTTCAAGTTTCTATCACTTCCTATTAAAGCACAAGAGCTGTTAAACATTTGTAACAGTGTATTACTTTCTTCCTACTCAGAATTGGCTGAATGTCAGTGACTACAAAATAAAGCAGTATGTACTGCCACACTAGAATGCATTAGGAAAATTTCTTCGATTATCTAACAAAAAACATGTAAAGTGAATACCAACCTGCACAATATCCAAAACCATACCAGCAGAAACAGTTCCAAATCCTGCTAACAAAAATGGTACAAGAATCTGTAATGCCATAATACTGCTGGACTCCTTTGGCTGCTTTCTGCTCCTTTCCACAATGGCATCTTCATCACCATCACTAGACAAGTTGTCATCCTGCAATATGGCATCTGTTTCTGACGTGTCCATCCCATCACAATAATTATAACTGGCAAAGTCATCATACTTTGGACTACAGCTAGATGGACTGTGTCCATTACTACCATGAAAAGCTGGTTCTGAGAAGTGATGGTACTCCGTGTGTTGATCCGATCTAACATTAAAATTGTGTCCTGTGTGTTGTAATCCATCTTGCCAGACACCATTCACTTTTTTATGTCGTTCTTCCTGCTTTTTGTGGTAAACAATTGGAACCATACTCAACAGCAGGTTGAGAAACTTGTCAGACTGAATTGTATTTAGATTTATAGTCCAATTTACAAAACTTTCTCCATCATAAGCTTTAGCATTACCATTTATTTTGGTAGTGGTAGATCTTCCTTTACAGTTAGTCATAGTGTTTACAAAAATATTACGGGGAAGATCACTCTGTTCTTTAAACTTCAGTGAAGAAACACAGCAGATGAGTCAACAACAGCCACACAATCATTGATTTTAAAATCAAATAAATCAAAATGGTCACTCTGTTATGTAGAAAATGTTCTTTTCATGGATCTTAGATCTTGAGCAATTCCACAACTGAGTTTGGATCTGGAAAAAAATATATTTCAGTAGTTTGATTGTGTGTATGTATCTATTATAATTATTAAAACAAATAGAAAAGAAATATCATAACCAACATTCTCATGTTACTACTATATCATCTAGGGCAGTATGCTGTGACATGAAGGAATTTGAATCCAGCTTGGTACTTCATAGGCTGAGAAGCAGAGACAACTCATAACTCTTGATGGTGGGGGGGGCATATGACTGCCCCATGCATCACCTCTGGCTCCTTTCCCACTCCCCCTGCACCTCCCATACCTGGTCCAAGCCAGCATCACCTCACCCCTACTCCCTCACAGCTCCTTCCCCACTTCTCCCATCACCTCTCCAGTGAAGGCATGGGCCAGAGTGGGCTCTGGACACCTACTACCGAGCAGGTAACTGTGGCTGCAGGCGAGGAAGGGACAGGACTCAAGGGCTTCCCCACACTCCCTCTGGCAGAGCTGTGCTGCCAGCCCCATCTCACTTCCCTGCTCTGGGTGCCTCACAGAGGTGCAGGTACCTTTCCCAAGCATGTCCCCCTCAGCTGCACTCAGCCCGACTCTCACCCTAGCAGAAATCTGGTGGGACATGTGACTCCACGTGCCTCCCTCCCACATGTGGCCTCTGACGAGAAGGAAGAGGTTAGGAGCACTATAAGGATAAACCTCTAAATCAGGGGTAGGCAACCTATGGCATGCGTGCCAAAGGTGGCACGCAAACTGATTTTCAGTGGCACTCACACTGCCCTGGTCCTGGCCACCGATTCGGGGGGCTCTGCATTTTAATTTAATTTTAAATGAAGCTTCTTAAACATTTTAAAAACCTTATTTACTTTACGTACAACAATAGTTTAGTTATATATTATAGACTTATAGAAAGAAATCTTCTAAAAACGTTAAAATGTATTACTGGCACGCAAAACCTTAAATCAGAGTGAACAAATGAAGGCACGCCACTTCTGAAAGGTTGCCGACTCTTGCTCTAAATTCTTGGATTGCATTGAACTGTTACTATAATGGTGCCTGGCTGAGTTGGGTGGGAAGCAGTCCTGCTGAAGGTTTGTGTCATCAGAAGAAGCTATGTCAACATCCTGGTGGAAAGATGAGCAGGGATATACCTGGTAGATGGCTTGTGCTGCACCTTGTACAAGAATGAACCTTTGGAAGAAGTGGGGTAACAAGAGTAGGAGAAGAGTTGGATAGGGTTACCATATCTCATAAATAAAAAAAGAGGACCCTCCACGGGCCCTGGCCCCGCCCATTTCCCCACCCCTAGCCCCGCCCCAACTCCGCCCCTTCCCCCACCCTAACTCCGCCCCCTCCTCCCTCCCACTCCCAGCCAGGGGGAAAGGGCTGCCCCAGTGCTACCAGCTTTACGGTTTCCCGGGCAGCCCCCAGACCCTGCGCCCCCAGCCGGCGCTTCCCCAGCGCAGCTGGAGCCCGGGAGGGGAAGCGCCT